CCCCCCCCCCCCCCCCCCCCCTCTCTGTTACATACAGGCGATGGAGAAAGACGTTACCCTTGCGGGGGAACTCGCCACCGACCGCATCCGCGTGTACCGGCCTCTCACTGGGGCGAAGGACTACAGCCGGGCCAAGCTGAGGGAGAGCTACGAGAAAGTCTCGGTGGACAAGGCCAGGGGGTAAGTTTTGAGAGTGGAAGTAGAGGGAGGGGCCATCAGTGGGGTGGGATAGAGACTGGGTGTGGGCCGCGAGGGATGCAGGCAAGGGTTCGACGGATGAGGGGGGTCGTAGGTGGTGATGAGGGCCTGCGTAGGGTCCATGAGTGAGAGTTCGTTCGTGGTGAGACGAATTATCGCGGGGTCGTTTTCTAGCGCGCAGGTTTGATCGATGGCCTGGCAAGAACACCAACAGCAGCACCAACGACAAAAATACTTCCACACCAAGAGCTTATCACAGCACTGGCTTTACAAAAACGGGGTCTAAGGCAACAAACAAGCGTCGTCTTTCGTTAACGCCAACTCGCTTGTCACGTTTTTTTATGGGTTGTACCGTGGGTTGATCGGTCGATGGGCTGGGACGGGCTTGATGTTATTGTTTCGATGTTTGATGCTGCAGGTACTGGCGCGAGGAGTACAGCGGGGAGCGAAACGAGATTCGTTTCAAGCACTTCGTCATCCTCGCGGGAAGTGTCCTGCCCGTCTGGCGAAAGGTGTGTACGCTGATGGCAACAACCTTAGGGGGGCGAGGCACGCTCCGACCCAGAGAGACGAGGAGAGTCGTCTTGAGACTGAAGCCAAGCTGCAGACTGCGTACCCCCCACCCCCCTCATCCTCGCCCATCCTTGCCCCTCGTCTCCTACTTCTACATTGTCGGGCGAAAGCTCTGTCTATTCTCTCATGATGCGGTGTTGTGGTTCCGATTCCCGTGATTCGCGTGGCGCGCCTGACCGTGCACACACACACACACACACACACACACACACACACGCACACCCCCATCAGCAAACAAAGCAATCATCACAACTTTTGCAAAAACTGCTGCGCCGTGTGTCTGTGTGTGGGTATGTCTGCAGGTCGAAGGTGTGCTGAACGCAAACACGCACACCCAGCACGAGCGGCGGCTGCGCATCGTCCGCGCCACCGAGAAGGAAGACGAGTGGGACAACATGCCTGACGACGACGGGACCGGCGGGAACGGGCAAGAAGGCGGCGGCAGCGGCAGCGGTGACGGCGACAAAGAGGTATGGTGGGCACACCGCACTTAGGTTTTTATCGTGGTTGTTTGTTTTTTGCGTGGTTTCCTTTGATGAACACCGTATTTTATTCCTCTTCCTGTGGTCGATTTCGTTTCGTGGTCTGCTTGGTTGCCATGCCGTTTCAAATGGCCTCTTGCTTGCACCAGTTTGGCGAACACAGCATTTATGTTCTTCTCGTTCGTTTTGTTTGGTGGTTTGCTTGGTTACTTGTGTTTCTGGAGGCCCCGTGGTTGCACCTTTTTTGCAAACACCCCTCTGGTGTTTCATCCACCAGCTGTTTTTTGTTGTTGCCCCGATCATTGTTGGATTTTGGTGCTGGAGGGAGAGCGGCGGCGGAAGCGATGGGTGATCCAATACTCGGTTACCGATGTGTTTCACCCGGCCGCGAGGTGACCTCGTCCCCCCCCCCCCATGTCTCACTCTCCTTGGGGATGATTCCGGTCTAACGGAGTAGTCTATAGCCCCCCTTCCGCTGGACCGATTCGCGAGCGTCTGTCTCGCTTGTCCAATACGAGCTCAACACCATACATTGCCAACAGTCGTCCTCTTCAGTATGTGTCTGCCTCTTTATTAGGGCGGTTCTCTCGCTTCTCCGATGCGAGCTGAACACCACCCATTGCCAACATTTGTTTTCTTCAGTATCTCTCTGCCTCTCTCTTTTCTAGATTTCTTCTCAACAGGGGGGCGACGCTTTTTCGTCCCGTAGTGTGTGGGAACGTTAAGGGGGGGGAGGGGGAGGAGAGGACATGTGATATGGCAGCGACCGTCAAGCGGCGGCAGGTGAAGGAACATAGGCCGCACGTACAGAGCTCACAAACCCCCTTGTTGTTGTCTTTGCATGCATGTTTTTTTTTTTTTTTTCTGCTTTGTTGCTCACCGGGTCAGCCTTCGCTGTCCTTGCCTCCCCCCATCCCCTCAACCGCAACCCACCCCCACAAAAACGCGGCCTATCTGCGCTTGCGGCCAAAGGGCGCCGGCGAGAAAGCAGACAGCGCCGGCGGAGAGGCTTCCGGGGACAAGGCGACTGGAGACAGCAGCAGCAAGGAGGACGAGAAGCCGTGCTGCGAGGTCTGCGGAGGGAGCCAGGACGTGGGGGACTCTTCGGGCGAGGAGGAGGAAGCGGCAGCAGAGGTGGTGCCCGCCGGTAAGGGGAAGGGTAGGGGCCGCGCTCGGTCGGTCCGCGGCAGTGGTTCCGCCGCCGCGGCTGCCGCTGCTGCTGCTGCTGCTGAGAAGGAGGAGGAGGAGGAGAAGGAGGAGGAGAAGGAGAAGGAGGAGGAGGAGGAAGGCAGTGGCGAGGAGGAGGAAGGCAGTGGCGAGGACGAGGCCGCCTCTAGTGGGAAGAAGAGGGAGCGAGGTGGAGGAGGAGACGACGACGAAGACGAGGATACGGGGGGAAAGGGCAAGGGGAAAGGGGTGCCGTCGAGAACAAGGAGGAAGAAGAGGGGGGGGGGGGGGGGGGGNTGCCGTCGAGAACAAGGAGGAAGAAGAGGGGTGGGGGGGGGGAGGAGGCAGCAGCAGCAGCAGCAGCAGCAGCAGCAGCAGTGGCAAAGAAAGGCGGAGGCAGAGATGACGACGACGAAACCACCAGCGAAAGAGACGACAGAGGTGGTGATGGTGATTCCGACACGGAGTCCAGGGAGAGCGTGATGGAGTCCAGGGAGAGCGGGGACGAGGATGAAGCTGGAGGGATGCGCGCGAGGCTTCGCGGTTGCCGCACCGCCGCCGCCGCAGCAGTTAAAGAGGACGAAGAGAGCGACGACGAGCCGCCTTCCTCATCGTCTGAGGAAGCAGAGGGGGGCGCCGCGAAGAGGAGGGTTACGAGGTGCCGGGGGGGGAGGGCGCCGGTGTTCGGGAAGGGGGAGGGGAAGCTGCTGGCCTGCAGGGAGGAGGGCTGTGGGAGACGGTTCCACATGGGGTGCCTCAAGCCTCCCCTCTCGAGGGTGCGCGGTGGTTGTTGACTAGGCTCGTGCAGTTAGCGATCATGTTGATGTCACCTGACAGTGTATGGAGTCATCGCCGTGACCTTCTACAGTAAGCAGATCGTGCGTTCTTGAAAAGAGCAACAGGAACGGCGACGGGAGGATGTTTCCAATGAAAAAGTGCTATGCGCCCCCCCCCGCTCGGCAGCTTCGAGGTTACGAATGTTGCTCCGAAGATCCTAAGAATGGACGCTCAGGTAGCTCGTAATTCCTTGCGCCGCGAGTGTGCTAAGGACCCCCCGCCCGACCCCCCCCCCGGTGTTTGCCATCGGGGTTGGGTTTTCGTCGCTTGGCAACGACGTTGTAAAACAAGCCGCCCC